AACATCATGTTTTCTTTTGGTGGTAAATCCTTTATCTTTACAGTTTCATAACTTAAAAATGTAGTAACATACTAGTTAACGATTACTTAAAAAATATTAGGTAGTAAATAATATATCTTTATTTTTTGAGGGTTAATACTTGGAGAAATTGCAGGCACATGGGACCTGTCAACTTATGTCTCAGGGTGATGGGCGCAGTGGCAGTGCCTCTCAGATTTTTGCGATTTGAAGCTCTGAGTGTTAAAGCGTCTGTAATGCGTGATGCGTGTAGCTTGCCATTAGGCGCACAACTTATCTGTCCCGTTCAGTTGATATTATAAAAAAAATACGGATTTACTGTTTATTCATCATTAACATTTTTTAGGCGTTGAGTATCATTTAAATTCTTAATTTTTGATTAAAAAAATAAGCTCAAATTGTTCTATAAAAAAAATCCTAATAATATCTCTGTTCAGCATGGTCACTGTGCTTGTAGGGCAAATAACAACGAAAGGTGTGCGCGCGAGCTGGGGCCTACCACCTCTTAAAACAATATTACTTTAACCTTACATTGACTTTTCGTACCATAACGCGCTTAAAGTAAGCTTATTGTAATGTTAAAACAATGATGTTTTATTGGCAGCTTTGTGACTATTCATTTACTTAGTTCGTACTATGACGCGACTTTGACATTACAGTAATATTGCTCTTATGTCAAATTTAGCAAGCTTAAAATAGTTACACGAATGCAATGGAAACAATATTATTTTCAGTTTTATTGTCTTAATATTGATTTGTAATCATTAAAAGTTAACTTGAACTTATTTATTATCATATATCTCTTCAATATTTTGTTAATTTTTTATTTAATAGCACATAGCAAATAATTTTTCGTTAAATAAAAATACGCGATGTTTATTTCATAAAATTATAACAGCGTCATCTATATGCTTCTTGACGAAAATTACAGTTGACACTAGACTATGGTTTCGAATTTACAACGTGACTATCAAGACTCAGCTTGTATTATTTATTTTTCTTCATAAAATGCGGAATAATAATTAAAAACAACGTAATTTTAATAGATTTTATTATGACATACTTTTCTTTTTTTGGCAATTAAAAATCTCTGAATGTAAATAATATTGTACTTTAACATTATACTACGATAACACGATTCGGAACATCAAAAAAAAAAAAGATAGCATTATACAGTTCATATAGCGTTATTTCTTCCTTACTTTTAGTAAGGAAAACACAATATTGTTGCTTTACCAATAATACATTACTTGGTTGATAGGTTTTTCACGGTGCGAAAATGAGTAATATTACAATAACCTTACTTTATGCTTACATTGAAATAAGATTGTTTTTGGAAAGGTTATGGTAGGCCCCCTGGTGCTTACACAAATTAAAGTTAATCAGATGATCATTTAGTCGATTGTCTGTCATTTAGTGATTAAAAAGACATCATGTATTTATTTTAAAGTCAACATAGTTTTGAGAGTAAATATAAAGTTAGAATCGATCAACCGTCTGACGTTAACAGAGTGCTTTAAAGGAGGAATTTCGAATTAACTCAAATAGTAGCTGCTTCCAAGATGACCGTTTACTACAGCAGTTTGAAATAGTTACTTAGTTCAACAGGAATCTAAGAGTTACTAAGTGTTCCAATTTATTGAAATTGTGCTATTAATTATGAGGCCAGTTTATTGTTGTTGAACCAAAAAGAACAGTAGGTTGTGTTCTACTTCAAATTAAGACGAGTTTTTGTAAGTTTAGTTTGTGTAATTTGCTTCTATGAAACCAAGTGACGGGACGAACAAGTCGCGCGCCTGGTGGTAAGCGACACGCCTGTCCATGACAGATGCAAAGCCACTCAGAGCATTAAATCATAAAGGCCTGACCACCAGTCACTATGATAAAAAAGTTGACAAGCCCCATGTGCCCTTAATTTCACCAGCACCCTTACCCTTCAAAACCGGAACGCAGTAATGCTCACATTACTGCTTGCAGCAGACATAGGTAAGGTGGCATTACTTGCCTGGACGAAATCTTTCACAAGGACCTCTACTGCTACTAGATAATTGTGATTAAAACACACAAAAACCCCATGATTTACGTAGTAACCTTACTTACTACAGATTTTTATATAAATAGTAATTAGTTTGGAAGCCATCCGTATGCATAATTTTGTCTATAGCACAATCCTTCGATTTACTTTTGTATACATTATAAATTGCAATTGATTAAAGTGCAAACCTACTACTTACGTTAAATTAAAATTCAATACTTTCATTCTAAATAAATGGGCATTCCTTTAACCCAAAAATTCACAAAAATGTACTGAATTTTATATGTAGACCGGTTGCCAAATTTTATTTTACACTCGCGCCAAATTTTATCGCAACTTACGGCTACCATATTTTTATTTTTTTAGATACTGCATTTAGATAAATAAATAATACGGAGATATCTAATTTCGATAGAGTTCCCTGTGAAAGAATTCGTATAGGGAAGTACTACCTCCTTACATATCTCTGCTACAAAGCAGGTGAGCATTACTGCGTTTTGGTTTTGAAAGGTGATGGTGAAATTAGAAACACATGGGACTTGTCAACTTATGTCTGAGGGTAACGGTAGCAATGGCAGTGCCTCTCAGATCTGCGTGATTTAAAGCTCTGGGTGGCACTGCAACTATTATTTACAGACATGTCGCGCACTATCAGGCGCACGACTTATTCGTTTCGTCACTTGGTAACATGAAAAATGTCGTAGAAATTCTATAATTTTTATTGAGGACCATATTGCAAACATTAGTATTATTTCGTCGCCTTACTTTCTCATACTCGTATCGTAAAACACAAAGTTATTAAAATGCAATAAAATGGATTGTATTTACAAATTTTGCAGGCTGATTTCGTATCACATTTCCTTCATATTCACACACTGGCTTTGACTTATTTTTAAAGTAATGCATCCAAATTAACATCCTTGATAAAAAATTTAAAATAAATAGAAAGTCTTGCCGTCTCCTGAATAATCACTCTTTATAAGATACGAGTTTGAGAAAATAAGGCATCGATTTATTCTCTATTATTTTTATAGTTGGTACAAAAATTGTCTGCCGTTATGTTTATATAACTAAAAAGCAGAAATATTCTTAACTTTCCCTGTGAATAGAACAAAGAAAAGAGAGGTATAGGATAACGAGTATACCTGAGACTAAGCCACAAAGTTTAAGCACGTCTGCCACGTCCATCTTTTCTAATATTCGTAAGGCGTCTCTCATACCTCAGACTTAGTACGCTATTACGTAAGTTTATCTCCAATTTTCACTTTTACATCACAAACAGTTAGGCTTATTATTATTATATAAATGTATGTACGGCATAATAAAAGCTTAAATACTAGAAAGTAAAACTAGAATGAAATTATAAGAAAAAAATTGGTCGCGGAGAACCAATGCCCAAGATACTGCCCCCGTTCCCCCTTCGTATAGCTATGCTAATACGTTAGGCAAGGTAGCTGCCGAGTCTTGGGTATCCCAGACAGTCATTTAACAATAATTTTTGGGTAAAATTTTGTACAGACAAACAGCACCGAGATTCCACGGGTTTCGACTCCAAAGGGTGCAAATTAGGTAGTCGGAGCCGAGGTTCTGGTATTTGTTACTCTTTATTCTTTCCACCAGCTATGCTGCGGAGCCTCTTGCTGGTGTGCTGGTGATGGCGTGGGATGGGGCAAGTGTGCCGGCACACGTGGAGTCCCCAGTGCCAGGCCCCCAGTGCCCGGTCCATACTCCAGGGTATGAGTGTCATCCATGCGTTAGCCATCAGTACGCTATATGCCGCTTAACTCGAGTATAGCGGGCACGAAGATCCTAAATAATAGTTACCTTTAGGTTTAGGCTAAATAATAGTTACCTTTAGGTGTCTCGTGATCTCTTTTCCTCTTTACGTGTATGAGTTAGATAAAACGTGTAATATTTTTTTCTCTTTTCGTGTGAGATGGTGAGTGATGGTTTTAAGAATATTGGCGATGGCTTTATTGATAGTTAAGTGAGCTCTTCATTAGTAGTTGTCTTCGAGAAGAATTTCACTGATTTTACTCGGAAAATACTTTTCTACTTGCACGAGAATGGTTTTAAGAAATATATAAAGAACTACTTAACAACGATGCAAGAAGGCTTGAACTGTAGTCAAGCAATCGAAAGATGAGGAGTCGTAGCTCCAGATTAAAGAATCAAACAATGGAACATTCGAATATCTCCTAAGGTATCGGGAATGTACATAACTCTCGAACTTTTGGAAAAAATGCTATTAATTGGAACCCTAATCACTTGTTGCGGTTTTTTAAATGTCCGAGACAAATATTATAATCCTAAATAATGTGCATAATAGCACGGACGCTATTCTGCTTCTGCTGAACTGCCTCCATGGGCGAACGGTTACCAAACTGCACTGCCACGCAGAGGTCCCGGGTTCGATTCTAGAAATATTTGTACAGCGAACATTTATTTCTCTCGTAAGGTGTGGGTGTAATTTGGGTTGCCTATTTGTGTGTCCATTGCACCCGCGATACAGGGTTATGAGTGTGTGCGTTATTGTTATTCTTATCATTTACAACATTCCATAGTTTTACGATTTATGTTGTTTTTTTAACGATGTTTTTATTTTTTGTATTGTCACTATTTATTTTGTGTGCAGTAAAGCTTATTCTATTCTATTTTATACCGTCATCATATAACTACTTACTGTACATAATGGTTGGCAGAGCGTAGTACACAAATGAATAGAAGGAAAGTGAATAAACAAAAATAAAAACAAACTCGAAAACTCGCCTCAGCTCCTAAATTCTGAAGCGATATTGATAAAAATCAACACTCATCACTTCGGGGTCTGGTTTTCCTAACAAAATTAATAAGTTCGCTGATCAAACACCCCGTCGTTGTAGCGATCCCAAATTCTCGGATAAAGCAGATATATTTTTTAAAAGTGCTTATATTAATTTGTACTCACGTTTATCAATAAAGCTGTACGTGCCAACGAATCCCGTAGCATTGTTCTGTCGTGGACCAGAGTGGAACTCGAGGACTAGTGCAGGCCCAGGGGAGTAAAGAGCTGGAGGAGCATCCGATCTACTGCCACACAGCTCTCTAGCCCAAGCTGACCGCTCATTGACAGCTCCAGGCGGTCCTGGTCCTTGGACCTCCCAATACACTTTTAGATAGTCTCCACGAACGCAACTGAAAGAAGATAATAATAAATATAAGTATTTTTTGTAAGTAATGACAAATAAAAGACAAAAAGGGTTGTGATTTATCCGAAAACACAGTTTAATAAAAATAACGTCTTTTGTTTGTGACAAATCTTCATAGAGGTGTACTGGTCAATATGGAATAGAAAACTCGCCGTTTTTTTTACTTTAATTTATTCTCTATTTTCAAAGATGGCCACAATATTCAAACCAAACCATTTTTTAACGATGATTACACAATGAAGTATATATACATGCAACATGTAATTTAGTGCTATCTTAATCCATAATTGTCATAATTATAAAAGTTTGAAATTATTAAACAAATCCAAAAAAATTAGGCGGTTCTCAATTGGACTCTATTTAATTTTTTTTGTGTGTATGTTACGCAATTACTCCGCCATTTGTAGACCGATTTCGATAATACTTTTTTTTTTTGGAAAGAGGGCACCACAGTATCGATTTCATTCAAATTTTATGAAAGTATTCCAACTCTAAGGGTGGCAAATTAGATGAAGAATCCAGGTTATTGGATTTCACCTACTTCAATAAAACTTGGCAAATAAATGTTAACTCCACTAACTTTTGAGGTCAATTTTTATATAAAACAGTGTTCTGTTATTATTTATTATTATTATTATTATTATTATTTTAAGGTCTAAATTTATCCTAGTGTAATGTTGTTACATTACTGCACACGGGAATATTTGACAAAGTAACGACCTTAGGAAAATATTGTGATACGGCAAGGTGTGGAATTTTAGTATCGCTTGAATATTAATGAGTCATGCCATGGACACATTTGCTTAAATCTGATATTTAGTCGTACCATTATATTGAAAAATAAAACGCCGGACCATTTTCTTCGTCAATTATTATAGACGGGCAATGCTTAGTTTTCCATAGAAATCGCCTGACAAGTTGTTATCAAAATCTGCAACCAGCACATAGGCGAAATTCATAATGTCTGGTAACTCCTTCCGTAGGTTAGTTGGGAGAGCGATATGAACCAGACAACCACACTTAGGGTCGTATTCCAGAACTCTACTCAATACTCAAGTCAGGACTTGAGTATTGTAGTGAGCACTGAAAATCATACTCAAGTCCTTGCCATTAGGGTCGTATTTCCAGTGCTTGTGTTGCCAGTGCAATACTGACTTGAGCATTGAGTAGAGTTCTAGAATACGACCCTTATACTACGATACCACCGACAGAGCGATTTGGTGAAAATGTAGCTGGTTCGAGTTCAGCCGGATCGAAAAAAAAATATTTATTTTTGTTCGAACATAGTGTCAAGACTAACAACAAACGAGCAGTGTTATCATGGTAGTAAGAACGTCATAATACTCTCTAAAAAAATCACATACAAAAACAAGTACTGTTCTAACTCAACAATGATGAAAGTGGGTAACCTATCACAAACTCGAATTTTTTTTCCGAAATGACGTTTGTCCGAATTTTCATCACACCGAAAACCGAATAATTACGAAAACGTTGTTCTTTCAGGATATGTTGGATGTTTATCGCAAAGACACGATTAGGTTCAGTTAGGTTAGGTTAAGTTAGGTTTAAAAGAAAAAAACATTTTCTTCTCAAAATTACTTTCGAGGTTATGAAAATTCGAGCAAACGTTATTTCTAGAAAATATCATTTCGGACTTCTGATAGGTAACCATGAAATTGAGAAAACACGATTTGCAAATTCAAGAAATTAGTTCATGGAACCAATAAATTTATATTCTCGTTTATAAGTTGATAACTAATTATTATGTATAAATAAAAATAATCCTATTATTCGCAATAAGATTCAATCGGTTTTTTTTAAATTTTCAAATCGTGTTTTCCAATTCCATCATATTTGAGTTACGTCTATATTTGGTGTCGTGTGCGAAATATTGTTATGATATGAATATGTTGACTGAATCAACGAATTTACTGTTCTTCCTGACAAAGCCTACGTTGCGGATTGACCTAGATATGTAATTAATTTAGTGTTTTAAATTAATTGAATTGTATTGTAATAATACATTTTTCGTTGACTGATTGTGTAATAAACATTTTAAATATATGTATAATATATAATATTGTGAAGTTACTTATTGTTATTACTATTAATTCCCAAGTTTGAGGCCAGGTACTTTATGTGCTAGTGTAGCACTTTATAATATTTAGTATAATAAGCTTGACATTGAACGCCGACATTAGCGTTTTTTTAGTAACAGTAGAGCTCCTTGTGAAATAGTTCGTCCAGGGAAGTACTGCCACCTTACCTATTTCTACCACCAAGCAATAATATGAGTATTACAGTGTTCCGGTTTTGAAAGGTAAGAGTGCTGGTGAAATTACAGGCACATGAGACTTGTCAACTTATGTCTAAGGATTGTGGGCGCAGTGGCAGTGTCCGTCAGATCATTGCGGCTTAAAGCTAAGAGTGGCATTTCAATTGTTATGGACAGGCGTGTAGTTACCTTCAGGCTTCAGGCAGGTTACGACTTGTTCGTCCCGCCACTTGATATTTAAAAAAAATAGCACTTAGTCCTAATAAAAGTCTTTTAAATTATCAACTTCACTTCAGGGGGCCTACCACAACCTCTTAAGACGCTGACAAGCGTCGATGACCTTGCGTCGATGACCTTGAGCGATAACGCGCCTACTATAATTTTTCCAATAAGGTGGCGCCATACGCCCCGATGCGGTAAGAGTGTGGTAGTTGGACCTTCCGCTTAATTTAACATAATATTGATTGCCACTAACAGATGGCGTTGTACTTAAGCACTGTTAAGTGCCTGTCCATAATTTGAAAGCAAAAATATTTACCTCGTACTTTAGTAGGCGAAAGTTACTTTTTACTAAATTTGTTATTTATCTTTTATTTAAAACAAATAAAGTGTAAGGATCAAGATAAGTACCTTTTAAATAACCACACCAAATTTGGTAGTAAGCAAGTTTGGTTTGCCCAAGAAAAATATGTCAAAAAATAACCACCAGAGTCTCACTGTAATCCAGTTTTTGTATTACCTATGACAATAAGCAATATTCTAGGTTCAAATTTCAAGCTACACTTCAAGATACGTGTTACAGGATAGACTATTTTCAAAGTTCCACGTGCTATGTTATCGCCTAAAAAACTTCCACAAAAACACCATATTTAAGCGATTTTGGGCACCTCATCGCCTTAAAACAATATTACTTTAACCTTACCATACCATAACGCGCTTGAAGCAAGCTTGTTGTAATGTTAAAACTATGATGTTTTATTGACAGCTTTGTGTTCAGTCAGTTCGTACCATGACGCGACTTTAACATTAAAGTAATATTGCTCTTATGTCAAATTTAGCAATCTTAAAATAGTTACACGGATGCAATGGAAACAATATTACTTTCAGTTTTATTGTCTTAATATTGATTTGTAATCATTAAAAGTTAAGTTGAACTTATTTATTTACATATATCTCTTCAATATTTTCTTTGTTTTTTAGTTAATAGCATACAGCAAATAATTTTTCGTTGAATAAAAATACGCGATGTTTATTTCTTAAAATTATAAAAACTAACAGTTGACACCAAATTATAGTTCCGAATTCACATCCTGACTATCAAGACTCAGCTTGTTTTATTTATTTTTCTCCATGAAAATGCGGAATAATTGTTGAAAACAACGTAATTTGAATAGATTTTATTATTACACACTTTTCTTTTCTTAACAGTCAAAATTCTTTGAATGTAAATAACATTAAGTACTTAAACATTATACTCCGATAAGACGATTCGGAACATCAAAAAAGAAAGAGGTGGCGTTATATAGTTCACATAGTGTTATCTCTTTCCTATTTTTAGTAAGGAATAGATAATATTGGGAAATCATTTCCTTCAATAACTTTTGCAATAATACATTATTTGATTGACAGAAGAGGATTGCTTATATAGGGGAAAAGAGAGCCCTCTCGTGAGTATTCATGCCAACTTGTTTTGAAGCACCATCTGTTTGTTTTTTATCACTGACAACTTCGTGCGTATATACCCACAAATACGCATACCTATAGACTTAGAATAATAACGCATAGAAACCTAGTCCGCACACGCTAAGTGAGGCAAATTGAAGCGCGCCAAGAGGGCCTACACGAGCGGGCGGGCTTTCAGTGCTCAAGGTCAACTTGCACCGCGAACAGATCAAGAATTTTAGCTAAAAATGATGAAATGTGCGGTAAATGAGTGTAAAAATACGTCTAAAATAGATACTAACATCACATTCCACAAGGAAGTAACGCGTTTCAACTTGTATTTTTATATAAATATTCACTAAAACCGAAAATTAACCTACTACTAAAACTAACCTACATGAATTTGATTTTTGCCTCACTTATGACAGTTCGTTTGATATGAAACTATCATTCTATGCGTTATTATTCTAAGCCTATAGATAGATTGCTACTAGTAATACTTGCAAATGAAATATACTTTGTTTGCAGTTCTGTTCTAACTTAATTATGTAAAAGACAAAATGTCACTTATGAATTTGTAAGACATTAGTCTGCCAATTACAGCATTAGTTAATTAGAAGAAAACACTAGGTGATAAAGGCCACAGTAAAAGACAAATTTATTTAATTACTTCTTATTTTTATAATGTTTGTACTTATTATGATATATTGCAGCATTATTTTTAATTTCTTCGTCCCCTACATAAGTAATTTTCCCAGACAAAATCCGATTAACAGTTCTACACCAGCTGTAGAATAAGACACAGCACAAGGAAAAACATTCACACACACAAATAGCAGTCAAGAAAATTTCACAAACGGGCAAAATTTTAAAGTAAATTTTCTAAAGTTTTTTAACAATTTATGTACGTACATAGTGTATGGAAAAATCCCAGTCATTACCTAAGTAAAATAACTGAAACAGTAATGGTATAGAAAGCCTGGCAATCCCAAAAATAGTACCGGTGATAATTAACAGATGTCACTACTTTCTTTACAAACTGTCAGCTC